AAATACTTTCGGAGATGCCTCAATAGTTTCTATTTCATATATAAATTTACAGTCTTATTATGTGCATATATTTACTGCTGAATGGCGTTATGAAATTTATTAATCTAAGTATTTAAAATAAGCTATATCTAGGATATTTACTATTGAATTTCGTTTTTATACGAATATACTCGACAATCATCTAGGTTCACCCCTTATTTCGAAATAATCATGGGCATACCCGAAGCAACGCGTAGGTATTATTTCGCGCTCATATAGTAAGAAAAATTTAGTTCACACGTCATTATTTTGGATAATAAAAATAACTAGAGTTGTTTAGCATCAATATTTAAGCCAGAATTTAAAAAAATTTTAAACATGTACAGTTGACTTTCACTATAATCACATTCTTGACTAAAAAAAAAATATATAACTATAATAAGATTATAATTATAGATAAATCAAATTTTTGTTTAATTATGAAAATATTGAAATAGAATCGGATATTCTATAGAATAGGTGGGTAATATAAGAAATAAGCTTCGGTAATTATTAATTTTTTAATTGGAGTTGCGGAGTTTGTAAAGTTTGCCCACCTATTCTATAGAACATCCCCAAAATTTGTGTTAACGCACAGATATCAGATGCATTATTGCTCTGCTTGTAGTGTCCTCTGGACAATAAGTTGAGACATATCGCGCTTAAGCTTCGGTAATTATTAATTTTTTAATTGGAGTTGCGGAGTTTGTGAAGTTTGCCCACCTATTCTATAGAATATCCCCAAAGTTTGTGTTAACGCACAGATATCAGATGCATTATTGCTCTGCTTGTAGTGTTCTCTGGACAATAAGTTGAGACATATCGCGCTTTTCAAATTACTGTGTCCACTGATTTTCATACATCACACTGGGAATCAGAAATCTAGAAAAAATGCCAATATGTGATTGGTTAAAAATTATTTTTAACCAATCACAGATTTGTATTTATTCTAGATTTCTGATTTCCAGTATAATGTATGAAAATCAGTAGACATAGTGATTTTAGACAAGGTAAATATGTATACATTGTTGCATTATCGTTACATATTCATTTTTTGCAATTTTAATGAGTTAAATAAGATTTAACCAATCAGAGTTACAGATTTTGGGTGAATAAAAAATTTTATGCAGTATATTAGTGCTAGCCTATAACCTTTTATGATCTATTTACTAATGGTAGGCTATTTACAGTATAACTTTATAACCTGTTGACTTATAAATTTACTATTATATTATGACCATCTTGGTCATAGGAAGTTAGATATGATTTAAAATGGCAAACGCTGCTATATATCGCTCGAGACCTGTCATTATAACCAGTGTTGTCAATTTTTGTTCCATGGATAAAACTTATATTTTATTCTGAATTCTATTGTTCTTTCTATTCTAAATTCTATTGTTCTATTCTATTGTTCTATTATTCTAATTGTTTTTTTGCTATATTAATATTAATTATAACCTAGTTGTCAATTTTTTTTGTTCTATTGATAAAAATTTTATTTTATTCTAAATTCTATTTCTCTATCTATTGCTCTATTGTTCTATTCATCTATTGTTGACAACACTAATTATAACTATAGAGAGAGTTACCGTATATGCGACATAATCTTTGATAAAATCTAATCGGTAAACTTTGATCACATGATTATCGAAGATTATCCTTAAGAACGGCAAATGTCTTAAAACAATGATTTTAAATCAATTTTATATTACTTTAAAAAGAATTTGTTTTAAAACAAATATTAAGTAATTTGACCATCATGTATGAAACGATTGCGCATATTGTAAGGGTGGTCTTACATAAACAAAGTGCCATGGCTGAAGCAAAAATAGCTAATCAGGAGTGTTAATTTAAAAAATAAACTTTTTTATTCTGCGTTTGCTTAATTTCGGGAAGGACAGCTGACCGAGAAGGGAATAGCGTTAAACAACTATTCAATTTAAACGGCCTAATTATCGTTATTGAAATTCACATTTTTATCTCATGCTTGAAAAAAATAAACAAAGGCCGTGTCGATTGTGATACGAAGCACCTCCGCATCTAATGGAATCTTTTTTAAGAAAACAGTTTTACTTGAAATAAAAGTATACACGCTTGATGATTGGTGTGTACGCGTTAAGATGTGCGATGTTGGAAATTGATATATTCTTTTTTGAAAGAAATTTTCAGCCAAAAAACAAAAGATGCTGGATTCATTTAAAAAAAAGAATCATGAAAATCTTATCTAAATCATATGTTATTGATTGCTGGGCGAAATGACAACAAGGAAATATTTAGGTCGTAGCATGTTTGACAATAAATATCAACAAATAGACTAATTTTGGTTTAGTTTAATAGCTATCAACCGTATCTAACGATAATCTGCTGAGTTCAAGTTAAAACGTTGAAATCCTAAAATTATGGATGAAATTTTTAGTGCTAGGTAGAGGCCTACGCAAAATAAAATTTATTATGTTTTTTAAAAGTTCAGCCCACATTTTACTATGTTTATGATATATCAGACCCGCAATTTTGTGAGGTTTTTAAAATTTTCTAATTTTGGCAGCCTCTGGCATTCTCCATAATTAGTGATGGAGCTACCAATACCTGCTACGTAATGCTGAATATGCATTATTGTTAATTTCATTAAACATGATATTATTAATTATACGTAGACTTCCTGGCTAACCAATAGAACCGTAGAGCAATTAATCGTTCTGATGCAAATAATAGTTTCTCAATATGCAAAATTAAATATTTTGAGCATAATTAGTCTAATTTTTACTCAACATGCATTTGATGCTACAGACTACTTTATAACGGTTTGTTCATATCTTGCACACTAAAAGTTCTTTAACGGCTAATATTAATCAAACTTAATTTAAATGACCAAATCCGTTTTGTTTTTAAATCAATCCAAATTATTACACATTTGTATAATCTATATTAAATCTAATTGTACAAATCTATATTAGTGGGATCGATCATGAATTAGCCATACAATATTCAATATCAACGATCTCTTTGGGTGTCGTTGAACTTAATACAATAGGATCTGTAGTTCCAACTACAACATTATCTTCAATACGTATCCCTATACCGTGGTATTTTTGGGGATATGCATCATTAGGTGGAATATATATACCAGGCTCTAAAAAATTTCATGTATCATCTATTAATAAGATTATTTCGAAAAGAAAGAATATACTTAGTTATTAATATTACCAATAGTTATAACCATTCCACGCAACAATCTTCGTGAACGATCAATATAATGAGTATCGTGAACATCTAGTCCAAGATAGTGACCGACATGATGAGGGTATAAAACGCGATCAACATCCTAAAATCCGGAATAATAGATATAAGCCAATGAACCAATAACATCAGTGTTGGTAATAGTATGAAAAATATGAAAAATTTACCCCTTCAGAAAGGTCAAACCCAATATTTGATAATTCTTCTTTCATGAACTCAACAGAAATTTCATGTATTTCATTCAATGAGATATCTTCGGCTTCTGTACAAAGCTAAATAAATAAAATATATTCATTTATATATTCATTATGCATGCATGTGGCTTCGCAAACATGGCTAATATGTTAGACTATTATAATGTACCTTGATACAACTCCTGTTCACGTTCAAAACTGCTTCATATAACTCTTTTTGAGGTTCTGTAAATTTTCCATTAACAGGCCAAGTTCTAGTAACGTCACTTGCATAACCACAGTATTCCTAATATCAGATATAATTAAAAACGATCATCCAAAGTCTTTATTTTGGACGTGCTCACGTTAATCAAACAAAACCAATTCACACTTACACCACCTGCATCCATTAAAACAAGATCACCATCCCTTATAAGTTGTTAACAGTAAATATATGCACATAATAAGACTGTAAATTTATATATGAAATAGAAACTATTGAGGCATCTCCGAAAGTATTT